TCTCTCTCTCTCTCTCTCTCTCTCTCTCTCTCTTTCGTAGTCTGCTGATGCAGTGAAGTCAGATAGCGAGAGGGTGAGAAGGAGATGGTGGACTGAGGAGAGGAAGAAGAAGAGCTCTCTCTCTCTCTCTTGTATRYCAGGTACTAACCTGTGAAGATGGMRCTGTGCTGCAGGTACCTCGAAGACRAAGCTGGAGCARCGGCGCTGCAGGTAAGTATCMCTGGCCTCCGCCCAATCTCCCTCTCTCTAATACTACTCTAGCTATGGCGCCCAGCGCTGAAGACTACAGCTAACGCTACTAGCGCCCAGCGCTGAAGACTACTGCTAACGCTACAACTACTYCTGCAGCGCTCGTCCAGAGTGCTGCTGCCGAATCCTGAAGACTACTGMCTGCCTCCTGCCTACCCGTGAAGTGCATGGGAAGTCCCTATGTACTACCTCGGCCTGCCTCCTGACTGCCTCCGACTGCCTGCASTTGCAGGGCGGGCAGTCGAGGAGGCTGCTCTTGCCAATGCCCAACCAAGCCAGGGTCTGGCGCTGCAGCTGTCGTGGGAACAGGCCAAAAATAGCCTGTTCCTAAAACCCTGGTTTGGTGCCYGAGATTCAGGGCAGGTCGGTCTGAGAACAGACCGAAAATGGCCCTTCGCTTCAGGCTAAAAAGGCTACTGCCATTTTTAGTCTGAAACGACACAGGGTCTGTAGGCCCCTGTGTTTCAGGCTTTCGAGCTGAATGGAAACGGGGCCTGTAGGCCCTGGTTTTCAGGCTTTCAGCYTGAGGGACGCAGGGCCTGGAAAATGGCCCTCGTGTGCAGGCGCAGCTTGTAACCCACCCTCACCCCCCCCTCCTCTCCTTATGAAGTCAAGCCGGGGCGAGGGCGAAGCTGACGATCTGAAGGTGGAACCTGGACGCGGGCGCGGCGTGGCGCCGAAGAGACCGGCTTGCCTTGCATCTTTGGTTTGTAGCGTGCGAGAACGTCTGGAGCTGTTGCTTGAAGTTCTGCACGGGTCAACCAACGGTCAGCTCGGTGTGTGCAGTATTCAAAATGTACCAAGTACTCGGTTGGCCTAGTGTCGTAGCGTCGCTGGGAGATGATGTCGCTGACCTCTTGAAAATCGTCCATAGAGGGTGGGTCTTGCGAACGTCGCCTGGGAAAATCGTCATGTTCCGTTGGCGTGTAAAGAGCCAACTTGAAGCTGCAATGAAAGACTGGGTAGACGGGCAAGTGGGCGGGCAGTTGAATAGTGAAGGACGGTCCCTCGGGTGCATCCCCAGCGGTTGCCACGATCAGCCAGGGCCCCATCCTTTTCAGGAGGAGCTTGCGAGAGATATCTTGTTCAAGGCTAAATTCCGTGGCCAAAACCCAAACGAGATCGCCCGCGCGGAATGGGCAAGGAAGACGCTAGCGATTGGCCTGTTGGCTCATGCACTGCTGCGTCTTGGCCATCTGGTCATGTGCCTTGACAAAAAACTTTTGCATCCGATGAAAGGGAATGATGATGGTCGTCGCTCTCGACCGCTCTCGACCGCTCGTGGAATGATGATGTCCAACGGAGAAGTGATCGGCGAGCCGTGCTCGAATTCGAAGGGCGACATCCCGATAGCCGGGTGGATGGAGGAGTTGTAGGCCAAATCGACATCCGGGAGCCGCTCAACCCAATCCTTCTGGTCAGGACGGATGATAGTGCGAAGGAGAACCTGTGCGGTCTGGTGCGCCCTCTCCGTTTGGCCATCAGTCTGGGGGTGGCGAGATGAACTGGGCTTGAGAGATGAGCCCCATCGCTTAATAAGCGCCAACCAAAAATCGGACATGAACCGAGTGTCGCGGTCGCAGACGATTTCCTTGGGGTAACCCTTGGTTCAAATCCAACCGGCGTAAAGAACCTCGGCCAACTCCAGTGCCTTGGCGTGATAGCGACAAGGCAAAAACATGGCGAACTTGGTGAGTCGGTCGACCACCGTGAGAATCCCATCCGCGCCGGTCTTGTGCTTGGGGAACGGGCCGGTAATGTCCATGGCAATCGCTTCCCTTCGCCGCAAGGGGACYGGTGATRGTCGCAACTCGCCGCATGGACGATGGTTGCGRGATTTGCAGCGCCGGCAAACCTCGCATGACTCGCAATAGCGTGTGACGTCGCCGAGAAGGCCGGCCCACCAAAATCGCTCGCGAAGTCGGTCAATCGTGCGATTGACTCCGAAGTGTCMGGTGGCGGGAGCATCGTGGAACTCGCCAAGAAGCCGTGTACGCAAGTGAGGGTCACTCGGTACGCAAAGAAGGTCCTTCCCCCGTGTGTGGACAAGCAAAGACCCCTCTTGGATCCTCTAGTGAGAAGGCGCCGGATTGGGAGAGGAGCAATTCGCGTACTTGTAGCGAAACTCGGGGTCGGCTTGGTAGCCGTGGATGAAGCTGTCTCGCAGGTCGTTGTCGATCTCAAAGGTTGAGTAGACCGCGGTACAATGATCCGGACGCCGTTAGAGAGCATCCGCAAAACGGTTCGACTTCCCCGGGATGTGATCGGGAAAGAAGTCGAACTAGTCGATGRAAGTCATCCATCGAGCGATGGTGTTGTTGACGGTGTTTTGGGTCTTGTAAAAGACCAACGGATTGTTGTCTGTTACCCATCGGAATTGGCTTCGACCAACGAGGAAGTGTCGTCACCGCTTGAGTGCGTGGACGAAGGCGAGGAGCTCCTTCTTGGGTGCATCGTCAACGGAATGCACGACGGGCACTTTCTTGCTTAAATACTCGACCGGGTGCCAGTCCATGCCATCATGTTGCTCGAGAACGACACCAATGCCATAGTCGGACGCATCCGTAGTGACGCGCGTAGGCAAAAGCGGGTCATATGTGCAAGACCTCCATAGATAATAGCGCGATTTTGAAAGCCAAAAATGATTCCCGCGCATCCTCCCCGAAGTCAAACGGTCAATCCTCGCATTGAAGCTTGGTCAAATGGGTCGCGATCTTCGAGTAGCCCTTGATGAAACGCTGGTAGCCGGCGAGGCTAAGGAACGAACGAACATCCGTGACGTTCCGTGGCTCCAGCCACTCTTGGATGACTTGAATCTTGTCCGATAGCGGACTGGTGCCCTCCGGTGTGACAAAATGGCCCAAGTATTCCAGCTCTTGCCGGACAAATTCGCACTTGTCGCGGTTGGCCTTGTCCTTGGCGCGGCAGAGTGTCTCCAACACTCGTCGAAGATGCCCAAGATGATCCTCCAATGTCCGGCTATAAACGAGAATATCGTCTAAGTAGACCAGCACGAACTGGTCCAACATTGCACGGAACTCGTTGGTCATTGCCGCTTGAAAGGTCGTCGGGGCGTTGGTGAGGCCAAAAGGCATGACCACCCACTCAAAATGTCCGTACCGCGTCTTGAACGCGGATTTGTAGCGATCGTTTGGTCGGATCAAGATTTGATGACATCCCGACTTCAAATCCAACTTAGAAAAATACTTTGCGCTGCCCAATCGCTCAAGAAGATCGTCAATGTGAGGAAGAGGCCCCACATTTTTAATGGTTTGCACGTTGAGCTTGCGGTAGTCGATACACAATCATAGATCTTTGTTCTTTTTTCGTACAAAGAGAACTGGCGCTCCGTATGGAGAGCTACTAGGGCGGATCCAGCCCTTGTCCAACAAATCATTGAGTTGAGGACTATAAGTTCCTCCTCGTTCATGCGATAAATGCAACCTTTCGGCGGCACAACACCGGCCTCGAGAATGATCTCTGAGAGATTGGTCGATCCAGCACCACACCGGTAGGTGACTCGAAGATGTAGGCGAACTAGTCAAGCAACCGCACCACACGGGGGTCCGAAGACAAGTCCGTGGGTGAAGAGTCGGTTACTGCGACGGTCCGTAGGAAGCATAGGCCGATTTCGTCAGGCTGCTCGTAAGCACAAGTAGCCCGGAATGACTTTGTCGTCACCACTTGGCACCGAATCGACGGGTGTGGAAGAGGAATAGTACACGCCACTTCGACGTCGAAGACGTCCCGAATGGAAAGAGTCCACCGGTGGAAGTTGACTGTGTGATCCGCACTTGCAAGCCAAGGCATTCCCAAAATAATGTCGAAGTCCGTGTTCAAAATGTCGAACGTCACCGGTTCGCATGCATGAGGTGCGAAATACACCGGTACGACCTCGATGTAGCGGTCGATAAGTTGTTGCGTCCTTCTGTCTGCCAACTTGATCATCACCGGGTTTGCCTTCCTTCGAACTTGTGCACCAAGGCCAACCCTTTGCATAAAGGTTTGACTCATAAAATTGCGAGACGCGCCACTATCCAGCAAAGCGATGTAGGACGCTTGCCCAACTTGGATGCGGACATAGAGGAGTTGTGCGTTGTTGTCATTGTACCGCTGATTGCGAAACTCGCAGGCCACCTTGGTAACATCGCAAGGATGTCCCCCACCACGACTTCGTCATCCGTCGGCGAAGGTGGTGGTGCATAGAAGGATAAGTACGTGTGGAGATGAGCGCATAGTGATGCGCATTGCGGTCCCGGCAAGTGGCCCGTGGTCGGGAGAGGAAGCCATGCAAAATCCCCGGACGTGAGCGGGTCCAATACCTCTATATTGAACTCGCGTGCCGAATCCCGTGAAGAACCACTTGAAGACGATAAGTCGCCGCTGCCGGACGGAGAAGATGTCCCACACACGTCGTGTCCTTGAGCTTGAGTACCCAAGGTAGGAACGAGCCGGGCAGCATAGTCCTGAAAAAAATAAAGAAGAGGAGGACTATCAACTTCCGCATGTGCCTTAGAACGAAGGGCGGTCACCCACGAAGTGACCGATTCTGAAGGCGTCGAGAGTGTCGTCGAGTCACTCCCGGCGGTGCTTCGTTTCCCGATTTGCCTTGCCTTTCGACGGGCAGGCCACTGTCTCATGGAGGTCGTTGTTGCACCATAGGCAATAGTGATATCTCGTGCGTGTTTTGAATCCTTGCTCGGAGAAACCGTATTGGGACCATGGGGCTGGAGCTGTTGCGCCGGACCTGGGGCTAGATGCGGTGTTTATCTTCGTCTTGCCGCGTCCTCGGCATTTGCCGGAGCGGCCACCTTCCTAGGCGGCTGCGAGTCTGTCCCCTTCATTGGCAGACACGGCCTCGCTAGTTTGGTCAAACGGCGTTGCCGTCGTGACCACGACCATTTTTGGCCGATATTGATCTCTGATCGGGCCTGTCTTAGATGAACGTAGGTTCTTAGCCTCCTTGTTCGCGATAATAATTTGTGCGGCCTTGTCAAAGAGTTCCGACGTTGTCGTCAAGGTGTCCTCGACGTGAGTCAAGGCATTGATCAATGTCGGACACGACCTTGAGACAAAATAGTGGCGGATGGCTTTGAAGCCCATTTGGATGTCTGGGACGGATGTCAAGTGTTGGTACTCGGCAATCCAGTCGACACTCGGCAGCGTGCCTTGTTCGAAGACCATTAGCTTGTCCATTGCCTTGATCTTCGACGGCTCTACTTGGAAGCGTTTATGCCACGCCGCCTTCAGATCATCCCAGCTGATCTTGGTATGCAAGTCGACAGCTACCACTCCGTACTTGGACAAGAGATTGTCCAACCATGCTTGGCACGCGCCCCCCGAGCGGGAGTATAAGTACGCGTGGTGCTTGTGTTCCTTGACGTAGTGTAGCTGCAGCATGAGCTCGAACTTGCGGAACCATGGAATCGGATCTGTCTTCGTCGAGTCGCAAAAGATCTCCTGCCCGTCGAACTTTGGAGTTGTCTCGCGCGGTTCTGAACTCGAGTGGTTGGCGGCAGTGCAGATCCGCCGTTCCAACTGTTGCGTTGCGGTTTGCTGTAACTGCACGCCGTCCTTGAGGGAGCCGACATCAATCTTCAATGCTTCGAGGCGATCGGAGGTGTTGGAAGAGCTGGCATCGGGGGCGGCGATAGGTTGCTGCTCTAGCTGCCGGAGGCGGCTGTGGACTTGAGTCAGCGCGCCGTCGAGGTTGTGGATGTCCTCCTGCTGTGTAATGCATGTTGCCAGGAGGTCCGTGAGATGGGAGAGGAGTAGAGCAATCTTGTTTTCGCTATCTTCCATCTTGCCATTCTCGGCATCGGCCCGCCAATCTGCTGCCATTGTGAGCAAAACTTGCTCTCCGCTAAATATCTTCTCACGACGTTGAACCCATTCTTCATTGGCAGTCTTTGTTGATGCCTCGTCGTGTTGGCGCTGCTGTTCGATTGCAAGCAGACGTGCCTTCTCGGCGTCCTCTACCTTCTTCTTCGTTGCGGTTGGTGCATCATCCGCCCGTCTCTTGGTTTCGATACTCCAGGCCAGCATCCGGGCCTGATAGGCCTCGTTTGTTTCCCCGGATTTCTGGTCCATGACGGTTGTTTGTGAACGCAAAACCATAGACCAGGCCAGGGGCTTGCTGACGTGGTACTGCTGTCGGCTGACATGGCCTGCTGACGTGTCCTGTTGACATGGTCCGCTGACGTGGCCTGCTGACGTGGCAACTCACCAATGTCGCCGCAGGGGGTACCCGGAGATAGATAGAGAAGGTAAGACCAGAGGTGGCAACAAGGGTGGGATAATCGCCCCGATAACGCCCAGATAAGGAGCCACTAATCAAAAGAAAAGTTTGAACTTCGCAAAAAAARATTCGAGAAAAATAAAAATCCCGAGTTTTGCAAGTTCAATAGKTCTCCCAACCTCCCTTGAAGTGCGAAAGTATCAATGAGAACAACTTTTCGAACTTCAGACTGCCAATGATTATCAGGTAGTGAAAATCATAGAACTGYGAAAAGAGAGAATTTTCCGAAAAGAAATAACAAGTATTCGGATTTACTCAGATGAGAGTATTCGCAGTTTGGAAAATGGTACTGCAAGAGGGATTTCCCGTACCATTTTCAGAAAAACGAATTTCGGAAACTATTCCGAATTTCCAAATAACGGGAAATTGCCAAAAGGACATCGAAATTTTCGAAAAAAAATATTCCGGATTTCCAACAACGAAATTTCGGATTTTCATAAGAAAAACGAAAACGGGAATTTCAGATGTTGCACTATTGCGATTTTCCACAACAGAAATAGCAAGAAAACGAAATCCAAGAAAAAAAAAAAATTTTGATTTTCGGAAATGAGGTCAAAATCGTGATTTTGGGGGCTAACGAGTGTGCTCTAATCAACCAATCAAGACTAATCAGCTACCTAGTCCCCGCACACGTGTTAGATCAGGTTGTCCTGATTCACGTGCGGTGTTCCGATACCAACTGTTACATCCCCAGTTGGGTGATGTACATATAAACCGAGGATCCGCAATGCGATAAAATGGACTGAATGGACAATGCAGTGCAAGTGGAATCTCAACCAGCAATGTGCATTCCGATACATACAAAATGGTGCTTTATAGCGTAGAGAAGACTTTAGATACAAGTCCTGACCTGACCGGGACTGACCTCCTTCACGTAGTACAAGATAGCGAGGCAGAATACTAGAATAATAATGACTAGCCCAATCAATGTTTCAACGCAGACCAAACATACATCATGCTCATCACAAAGTGTGAAGGGGCCTGGCGCTATACACAAGAAAGAGGCGTGAGGTCTAGACATACACAGACAAAGAGGAAGGGATCAGACGAAGAAGAGGAAGGGGGAGATGGGAGAGTCGTCAAACACCGAGTCTCGTTACAAGTCCCCAAGTAATCCCTCTTCAAAATGTCTGAAGTCCCATCTCGAGTCTGGATCCAATGTCACCAAGCTCTCTCTCTCTCTCTCTCTCTCTCTCTCTCTCTCTCTCTCTCTCTCTCTCTCTCTCTCTCTCTCTCTCTCTCT